CCGAAGCCGGGGGAGAGTCAGTCTCGCCAGCTGGTCATTTTAACAGAATACGGGATATCAAATGAAACTTTGAACAGAGAAACAACAGATTTAAACCCTGGCATCAATAAAAGTTAGACTCATTGACAAGAAAAAAGAGAGATTCAAACCCGTGCGTTCAAAGACTAAGATTCAAAAGCCGGGCGTGCAAAGGGGAAGGGGAAAAAAGAGAGAGAGAGAGAGAGAGAGAGAGAGAGAGAGAGAGCAACAAAGACCATGAGATCTGTAAATGGATACTTTGTTAGACCCCGAATATCTCATTGACATTTTTTCCATGTCCGCGGGCTCAGTCACTTTTCATGCTTTCCTAGCAAGAACATAGCACCCGTGTGGAGCCTACCGTCTTCCCCCGAACACGACGCACCCTCATTTTGACTGTATCGGGCCGGAAACATGCCTTGCATACGTTCATTTTCAGGGTGCTTTATGTTCGGGGGAAGACGGTAGCCTTGAATCTATCTGGCACGGTTCTCCATCTGTTCTGCCCCTTTATCTCTTTGTTGCTGACCCCTAATCTTCAAGCATTCCTTCAAGTGTCTGAACCCTTGACTTTTGATGGTTAGGCCTAGAACGGAGACTTCAGACTCCAACCCTGAGTCTTTTGATGCTAAACGCTAGAATGGAAGCTTTATATCTAAATCGACCTGAAACCCAAAACCCTGAACCCTGTAGGCTACCGTCTTCACCGGAATAGAATGCCCGGTCATTATAGCTGTAGTTGGCACAACTTTCGGTCCAGATGCAGCGATAATGACCGGGCGTTCTATTCAGGTGAAGACGGTAGGCATGGCTCTGCCCTTTGCCACCATATACCCTGTGTGTGAAGCCTGAACTGGGGTCCCTTGACCCCGAAGTCCCAAAATGCTTACCCCACACTCTAAATCTACAGCCCAGACCCCAGAGTGAGAGCCCCAGACCACAAAACCCCTAAGCCACCAAGCGTTAGCCACAACCCCCATAGTTCTACCCCTTGAGACTTTGGACCGTTTGTGCGAACCCTAAACTGGGGACCCTCGACCCTAAGGCCCAGAATCCCGGACTCTAGTTTAAACCCTAGCTGGGGAGCCTTGACCTAAGCCCCAGAATCTCAGAATCGAATTTTTTAAACCCTAGACTGCAAACCCCAGAGCACGGTGAGCCTGATGTCGAATTGCTTCACTGTGATTGGCTTTTGGAGTCCAGTGTTGTGCAGAAGCTGGTCTTGGTGCTGAAATGGCGAAGTCAAGCAGCCAGGTTATGTACCCAGCTTTTCTCAGGTGCGTTGGGTTTCCTCCCTGCCTTCAGCTTGCATTCATGCAATGTCAAACCCTTTCCCTAACCATGTGTTATCAGCAGTACATAATGGAGTACACTGGACATGTTTCGAATACAAACCCACAGGACAGCATGATTAAGGGTCTACACCACTGACCAAATGTACAAAAGTCCCAAAATTTATGGCGTTGTATCTTTCCGTGCTCTAGCAGAAACTTCATTCTCATTTTGCGCATTTGGTGCGTGGTGGCATGAGGCCCTCGTAAGTATTTGAAAGAAGTTGTGGGTTTGTCATTTGGATGGTTTCTTTTCCCAGAGTGTTCTGATTGGAATGGAAGAATTAATGACGTTCCAATCGGATTAAGGGCCTCGCTCCACCACTCGCCAACTGCAGAAAAGTCAAAATGCATTCTCGCCTTTACACAACTCACCAAATGCACAAAAGTCAAAATGTGAACCACACAATGTTCCTCAAAGGGGTTTGAGAGCACCTACCTTTCCGCAAGCTTCGTACCGTCTTCACCCTAATAGAACGCCCGGTTATTATAGGGGACTGAAAAGTGCACCAAATGCGGCTATAATGACCGGGCGTTCTATTTGGGTGAAGACGGTAGTTGTGCTGTGTGCCTATGCATGATGCGGCACCATATCTAGATGTGTAAGGACTCAGGAGTCATGTGGAAAGGTACTGTCAGACCCCTTTTGAGGGAAATTGTGTGTTCATTATGGTGGGGTCTATTGCACAAAGAAGATCTGAAGAAGCAATGAATTTGTCCAGAATGTGGGATAATCATTCTCGCGTATTGCCCAGCCCAGGCATGTTAAAAGTCCGGGGGGGGGGGGGGGGGAAACCAAGTTGGTGGGGCAGTTGTGAGCCGAAAGTAGGCCAAATCAGGGCTCTTCTTTGTTTTTCAGTGTTCCTGGGGTTGCATAACTGTGGTTTTGAGGGGTTTAGAGGGATGTGCCTTAGTTTTTTTTTTTGTCTTTTTGACCTTCGATGCAATAAGGAATTATGAGGTGACCCTCACCCAAAAGCTGTTTGCATTGCAATTTTTCAGAACCTCCTTTTTCCATTTTTTTTTTTTTACTTCAATGTGTTTTGATTTTGTGCAGGGGCCTGCCGGTGACCTGCCGGGGCATTCCAGGCAGCCAGAGGGTATCTCCTCAGCTCTTCTGGACCTGGTGATCTTGCCCAAGTTTTGATTTTGCGCAGGGGCCTGCTGGTGACCTGCCTGGGCATTCCGGTGACCTGCGAGGACCCCCGGAAAGGTATCCAAGGCTTCAACTACAGAACTTGGGCGAGGGTATCTCCTCAGCTCTTCTGGACCTGGTCTTTTCCTGGTGATCTGGACTGATGTGGACTGTTCTGTACTGCTGGGTTGCGCCTGGACTCCCGTTTTTCTTCTGAAAGTAATATCAGCTAGTAATTGAAAGAACGCTGTGATGGTTAAAACTTAACAGCATGTAAAACGCCTGTTGTTCTTGCATTTGTTGGCTTGATTGAAGTTGTGAACAGGATGATGGAAGCAATGCTCTTGTCCTACCGTCGCGCGGGAGGAAGGGAAAGCCCTCTGCGGCTGCAAAACAGGATCCGGTGAGTTTGTCGGATCTGTTTCCTTTGTGGTCATGCATGGCTGAAAAGGCTGGAAACATATATACTGTGTACATATATGCACAAGCATTCTAGCGCAGTTCCACTGGATCCCCCTGCTTTTGATTAAGCATCTTCGCCCCGATTTGTCGTCTTCGCTCTCCTATCAAATATCCTTCGCTCTTATCCTTATGCATGTCCTCTGTAAGTCGGTCCTTTCCTCCTCTCTCTCTCTCCCCCTCTTGACCTTCACAATCTGTCGCATGTTTAACTGAAGAGAAGTGGGCCAGGAAAATCCTTTCAAGAACTCTTATTCCCATTTAGCATTATCTTCCTCAAGTGGAGCCCATTGAATATGCTGATGTCATCCCTGATGAGCATCTGTGCCACTTATATACATGCTCGTTTTTGCGTGTGTGTGTGTGTGTGTGTG